ACTCGGGCAACAGGATCAGTCTTTGCTCGAGTCACGCAGCTTGGCCAGTAGTCACATGAGCAATGTCTCGTCCAATCAATACATCTAGTGCCCAAGCCGAACAGCTCGGCCAGCAGGATCAGTCTTTGCTCGAGTCATGCAACTCGGGTAGTAGTCGCATGAGCAACGCCTCATCCAATCAATCCATCCGGTGCCTGAGTTGAACAGCTCGGAAGGCATGATCAGTCTTTGCTCGAGTCATGCAACTCGGTCAGCAGTCGCACGAGCAGCGTCTCATCCAATTAGTCCATCCAGTACCCGAGTCGAACAGCTCAGCCAGTAGGATCAGGCTTTGCCCGAGTCACACGACTCAGCCAGTAGTTTCACGAACAGCATCTCGTCCAATCAGTCCATCCAGTGCCCAAGTCGAACAAGCTCGGCCGACAGGATCAGTCTTTGCCCAAGTCACGTAACTCGGCCAGCAAATGCACGAGCAGCATCTCATCCAATCAGTCCATCTAGTGCTTGAGTCGAATAGCCCGACTGGTAGGATCAGTATTTGCCCAAGTCAAGCAACTCGGTTAGCGGGATCAGTCTTTGCCCGAGTCACGCAACTCGACCAGCAGTCGCAGGAGTAGTGCCTCGTCCAATCAGTCCATCCAGTGCCGCCGAACAACTTGGCCAACAGGATCAATCTTTGCCCTAAGTTAAACAGGTCGGCTAGAAGAATCAGCCTTTACCCAAGTCATGCAATTCGACCAAAGGACTCACAAGTGACGTCTCGCCAAGTCGCCACCTGACCATCGCTTTTTCAACCCAGTCGTGCCCTCAATTCCTCACAAGGATCCAGAGACATGTGTGCAGGAATCCAGGCGCAACATAGACGAACGAGTTCGGGAAAGAAGTGTGTCGCCACCGAATCCAATCTCGACCCGACCACCCGAGATCTTCGCCCTTGAGATGATCTGGACGTCGCCGGTCGGCCGTGTTAGCCACGTGGTCACGGCCCGAGGTTCGTGGAACACTTGGAAACGTAATCTTTCTAGGCATGTAATGCATATGTAAAAGCTGGATTTTTGGCATTTTAATTGGAGTGTGCAGATCAAAACTCCTTGCCTCAAGAAAGTCCACTACCTGCTGCTCTCAAGGCGCGTCTTGCCTTTAATCCACAAGCATTACAAAGAGACTGCACCATAGTTTCCATGCACATCAATATTAGCACAATCTATAGAAGATCAAACTATCTATATGTAACTTTCTTTCTTAAAGACATATACATTGATAGAAAAGGTTTTGCATCAAAGGATGTATGGGTGGTAGAACAGCGGATCAGTAGATAGATCAGCACCTCAGGTCCCCGAGGGTCTCGTCTCCACAAAGGAGTCTTGGTTGCGTTGCAATCGGAGCACGTTCTGATGTTGGTTGCGGAAGACAAAGCTGCATTGCTCGAATCATTTTCCAGGAAGAGACCAAGGGGCTCCGGTGAACGAACAAATAACTGAGAGATGAAGATCTCAGGATACCGAGGCATTAAGCTTACCTCTGTGAATATGAATACAGACATGCCCGAGTTGTCGGAGGAAGAGCTTGGAGGCGGCTTCCATTTCGCTCACCCTCTTCGGTTGGAAGATGGAGACATGGAGATGACAGAGATCAAATAGACTATGTTGTTTGCGGATCCTAAATAGGGCGAGAAGCAAGAACAAAGAAGCACCCCTACCTGAGAGCCACATGAGATTGCACCAGAAATAAGTATGATTGGAGAAGAAAAGCTTGTTGCAGGATATCCTAAAACCTTATCCTGTTCATGCATGTAGAAAGAGAAATATAAAGAATGGATTTTGGGTTTTCTTATTGTTTTCTGACCGATCGATCTTTCACGTTCCGTAGAGAGTGAGTGTTCACCATATCACTTAATCCCGGCAACGGTGAGCACAGAGGTTCACAAGACATCCACCAGAAGTGCCAAAATAGCAGCATTACAGCAACCTTGCTGAGAACTCCAATTGGCTAAATCACTACCACTAGGGCATGAGTGGGGAATCAATCTCCTCATCTTTTCCTTCCTTCTATCAACACTTACTGCTAAAATGATGCAGGCTTCAATGAACAATCATGCATATTGGATTTTATTCAGATGCTTCATGACTAGCTTCAACTTGTAAATGAACAAAAATAGTCTAAAAAGAAGGGATTAAACTTCAAACAAATGTTGCTAAGCAACAAGTTTGAGAGCAGAAATGGTGGTGTTTTGGCAGCTGCAGCACTTCAATGATATAGATATATATGTACAATTTGAAGGAACATCAAAGATAATAATAAGGTGCAGAAGTATGATGGGTCTATGCAGTAGCAGCTGCAGCTTCTTCAGCCATTTGTGACACAGGAGGAAGGGTGCAGATGAGATTACGATCGCCGTACACATTGTCGATGCGCCCTGGTAAGTAAATCAGACCAACACAATAGTAATCTCAGTGTTGTCCCGGTTGTTAAAAGTGAGATCATAGCAGCACATAGTAGTGATTGGTACCTGCAGTTGGCCAGAATTTGGCATCTCGGAGCCAAGAAACAGGGAAAGCTGCACACTCCCTGGAGTATGGTTTGTTCCATGAGTCTCCCATGAGCATAGATAGAGGATGAGGAGCACCCTACAGATGAGCTAAAGTTAAACAAACAGAACTTTTCTGCAAATGCAATTACATGAATCACTAGTTGATTACATTATTCATTCCGGTCTTAATTTTTTAGCAGAATTATCTTTTCTTGAAAGAAGACTTGTTAGAAGTGCAATGAAGAAAATTTGAATTCTCATACCTTCAGGACATTGTTGTTGATATCAGCTTTCCCACTCTCAATCTGTGTAATTTCTTCCCTTATAGAAATAAGAGCATCGCAGAATCTATCTAGCTCTGCCTGAAAGGGAAATCAAACATGCTTCAATTGGTCTGCAGGAGACACTTCAGGAAATGGTAGCACAATACCTTGCTTTCGCTTTCCGTGGGTTCAATCATGAGTGTCCCTGGCACTGGCCAAGACATTGTTGGTCCATGGAATCCGTAATCCATTAGACGTTTGGCAACGTCTTCAGGCTCTATACCAGCAGTCGCCTGCAGTAATTCAAATCTCAATAATTATCAGGATCAATAACATTCCGATACTGAATCAACGATGATAAGTGTGGCTTAAGGCACACCTTAAACCCCCTCAAGTCTACTATGAATTCATGGGCGACAGTTCCATTGACTCCACGGAAAAGAATGGGGTAATAGTTCTGCAAGAAAGTAGAATCAAATGAAATCAGAAAGGGTCAAGCAACTTCAAATATATCTATCTTTCATTTACAATTTTCCTTCATTTGTTTCCCTTTGATGATAAACTACAGTTGATACTAGCTAGTCAAACAAAACACTATTACCAGCTTAGCGACAAAATTCGAAGAAAAGGACTTATTCTTGATGGAACTGAACATTCATATTTCTCGATGAAGCGTAAAAGTTAAATTGACATTGCAATGGAAACTTAAATTACCTCTAAACGCTTTGCCATATAGTTTGCATTTAGTATAGCTGTCTTTGAAGCATTTGTTAACCCCTTAGAACCCATCATGGCTATGTATGTGTATGAAATTGTCAGAATAAGTGCAGATCCCCACGGTGCTGCAGAAATAGTACCAAGAGGCTGGGCATTCTCCGGGGGAGGTATTCCTCCAGTAGCCACCTACGGTTACAAAATGAAGCAACAATCTAAGTACCCCATCTGTCCAACATCAAACCAAATGGGCCACGATTTAGATCTCCAAATAAATACATTACTTACTTAGAGAATCATACAAAAACAGTCACACTGACTCCACTCAGAATTTTGTCTTGGAGAAAATTATATAGCGAAACAAAATTAAAGAAATCAGGCCCCTCATATTCGTAAATCATTATTTAAAAGGTGTGTCAGTTTGCACACTTGTTTACAACACTAGCTTGCCAACTATGATGATAACTCAACCATCTTAAATGATTGTCCAAATAGTAATCTTATACAGTGATGAGAAAGATTAATCAGCAATATGGCACCTCATATTAAAATGGTCCCGAAGATGAATCTAGATGCAAGTTGATGACATAATTTGTTTACAATTTTGTACCAACAAAAGAAGCCTTTAGTAACCAAAAAACAAAAGAGAAAAGGAGACACCAGAATGCCACAAAGTAATAGTTACTTATATTTATAAAGTATAATTGCAAATATATCAAATTATGTATAAGATAAAAATTTAAAAATTAATTACCAGACAAGAACTAGTAAACAAAAAGCATATACGATCTTGTTAGTAAGATTACAACAGCGGAGCAATGCAAAGACTTTACAAGAAAAGAATAGCCTACATGTGTTTAGATAAGCGACGATAATTGTTATGAGATACTGGCAATGTGTTACATGCCATCATAAGTTCTACAACCTCAAATTTTACTCAATTGAGAGTGTCGTACCACAGGATGTGATGGCAAGAATGGTGCCAAGTGCTTCTTCACACCAATGGGACCCATTCCAGGACCACCTCCACCATGTGGGATGCAGAATGTCTTGTGGAGGTTAAGATGACAGACATCTGCTCCGATAAAACCTGGACTTGTAAGGCCGACCTGGATAATACATCAAAGTCAATGTTAGACTGCTGAAGCAACCAAATTGATCAAAACTCAAGATAGAGGATTTAACTTTATGCAATGAGTAGATGGTCAAAAGATGTGTGACTCAAAACACGAATGTTTCATGCAAAATACTGCACTGTAGAAAATGTTTCAAAGAAAATCAGTAATCAACAACTCAGAAAGTAACCTAAGAAGAGTTTAGTGATTGATTGAACTAAGATACTTAATATACCACACCATCATCCCATACGTTTAGATATCAGGAACCCCAATTGTTTAATTTCTTGATAAACCATTTAGTTGACACAAGTAGCATCCAGTTTGCATACTACTGTGGTGTCACATTAACTTTCCATGCCCATAAACAAGACAACAAAAGCCATCAGTTACCATTAAATGGTTTCATTTAGGATATGCAACTACATACCTGTGCATTCATGTTAGCACCATCCATGTAAACTTGTCCTCCATTGTCATGAATAATCTTGCATATCTCATCGATGCCTTCTTCATAGACTCCATGAGTTGACGGGTATGTAACCTGAGCAGGCAGGGGTTAATCAATAATGAAGACAGTCAAACAATTCCATATCATGCCCTTACTATTTAAAGAGGAAATTCATCAGCAGCTTCTTTTATTAATCGAGCTGTGTAGGTTCAGCACTTTAAAACTTTATGTAAACTACCTTAAGAAGTTGGAAATCTGAACAAAGAAATGACTACCATATCGTTCTGCAAAGATGTCGATCTGCAGGGAAAAACTAGCTCGAACAACCTTTGCAAGTAAAGGAACATAAACTTTGGCGCAAATGTCAACAAAGATAAATGACTGTAGCACTAGTCCTCATAAATGCTAAATTGAGAATTCCATAAATTTTAAGGAGACACCATTCTTACCATCAGAGCAGACAAATTGTCCTTGTGTGCCTGAGCTGCTTTTCTTAGTTCTTCAATGTTAATGTTACCCTTGGAATCGGTTCCAACAGCAACAATCTTCATTCCGCACATGGCTGCACTTGCAGGATTTGTCCCATGAGCAGATACGGGTATGATGCAGACATTACGATGGCTATCTCCTCTTGACTACAAAATTTTCACCAAAAAGGCATGTGAGTCAATGACATAAATTCTAAATCTCAAAGACCAATCGCTTCACTTGACAACAACAGTGTCCGAATGACTTACTAGGTGGTAAGCACGAATAACCATGAGCCCAGCATATTCTCCAGCAGCACCAGCATTTGGTTGCAATGAGAAAGAATCAAATCCTGTGATGGTGCACAAAAGCTCACCCAAGTCTTTGAACATTTCCTGGTACCAATAAGAAGTCAGTTAAAACGCATAATTTCAACAGGTTAGAGAAAAGAAAAATTAGTACCTGATATCCTTGAGCCTGGTCAGCAGGCACAAATGGGTGAAGGTCAGCAAAGCTGGGCCAAGTCACAGGCATCATCTCCACAGTAGCATTCAGTTTCATCGTGCAAGATCCAAGAGGAATCATGCTGTGGCATAAGGAGAGATCTCTGGATTGTAACTTGTGGATATACCGCAGCAGTTCATGCTCTGTGTGGTACGAGTTGAAGATTGGGTGCGTCAAATATGAGCTATATCTGACTAGGCCTTTTGGGATAACCATCTGGACTTCAGGAGCTAGAGATTCTGCAGTAAAGTTGACCTGAGGATTTCAACTAACATCAGATGCTTCATATCAGCGAAGGAATCTGCAAATAGTCTGTCACCACAAGTACTTACAGCCTTGCCACAAGCAAAAACTTCAAACAACTTATCCACATCTTCAAGGGTTGTGGTCTCATCAAAGGACACAGTTATCTGAAATCATAGATAATGACAGCATGAGAACTGGTATCTGCAGCTGCAGAGTGTACGCTTACACATCTAGATGTCTGCTACCCATTATCAAGTAGAATTCTGATAAGATCACTCACCGTATCGGAGTCAACAACCCGAAGATTCATTCCATTCTTGCAGGCCTCGTCGGCAATTGCTTTTGCATTGGAACATTTTACTTTGACTGTGTCAAAGAACGGAAGATCTTGAAGGGTCACCGTCCCGAGCTTCTTCAGCCCGTGTGCAAAAGCACAAGAAAGACCGTGGACCCTCTCGGCAATTGCCTTGAGACCTTCAGGACCATGATACACGGCATACATTGCGGCCATGTTCGCAAGCAACGCCTGGAGGTTCCGGAGACGAAACAAGTGAATAATCACACCCAAAGCAGGGAACAAATGAACGGATATAAAGAATAAGGAGAGATCGCCGACCTGCGCGGTGCATATGTTGCTGGTGGCCTTGTCCCTCCTGATGTGCTGCTCCCTGGTCTGCATCGCCATCCGTAGCCCAGGCTTACCGGTGGAATCAACGCTGACCCCGATGATTCTACCAGGCATCATCCTCTTGTACTCCTGCGACGTGGCCAGGAACGCAGCGTGAGGACCGCCATAGCCCATGGGCACCCCGAACCTCTGAGCAGATCCCACCACGATGTCGGCCCCGAGCTCGCCCGGCGGCTTGAGCACCGTCAGCGCCAGCAGGTCGGTCGCCATCACGACCTTAACGCCATGGGCATGAGCATTCTTGATGAACTCCCCGTAGTCCAAGATCTCACCGTCGGTGCCGGGGTACTGGACCAGGACTCCGCAAACATCGTTGGACTTGTAATCGAAGTCCTTGAGGTCGGCGACGACGACCTTGATATCGAACCCGTCGGCCCTGGTCTTGCAGACGTCGATGGTCTGGGGATGGCAATTGGAGGCGACCAAGAAGGTCTTCTTTTTGCCTTTCTGGATGTTGTTGCACATGGTCATGGCCTCTGCGGCGGCGGTGCCCTCGTCGAGGAGGGAAGCGTTGGACATGGGGAGGGCGGTGAGGTCGGAGATCATGGTCTGGAAGTTGAGGAGGGACTCGAGGCGGCCTTGTGCGATCTCGGCCTGGTACGGAGTGTACTGGGTGTACCACGCCGGGTTCTCCATGATGTTGCGGAGGATGACGCCGGGGACGAGAGTGTTGTAGTAGCCCATCCCGATGAAGGACTTAAAGACCTTGTTCTTGGCGGCCAGGCGGCTCATGTGCGCGATCATCTCCGACTCGGTAAGGCCGGCGTCGAACTTGGGGAGCCTTATGTCGGAGATGCGGATGGTCTTGGGGACGGTAGCGTCGATGAGGGCGTCGAGGGAGGAGAAGCCACAGGAGGCGGCCATGGTGAACTGCTCCTCGGGCGTGGCGGAGTTGTGGCGGCGGGGGAAGGTGTCGGAGGGGCGGAGGGCATCGACGGAGATGGAGCGAGTCTGGCCATTGCGAAGCATGGATTCGGCGAGCACGGACGGACGAAAGAGGGAGTTGGTGGCCGGGAACAGGGAGGAGACGCGGCGGGTGGCGGCGGGCATAGGCGGGGACGGCCTCGTCTGGGAGATCAGGCGGCGGAGGATCGCCTGGCTCGCCAGTTTTCGAGCGCGCTCCATCGGAGACCCAAACAACCAACAAAGATCTCTGCTTTGAACCAAACACGTAGTAAAGATCGGAACTTTCTTCCAAAGGAGCACTAAAAATTCACTTCCTTTTTTGTCTTTCACTTTCCCATAAATTCCGATTCCAATCAGGAGGCGAGGTAAAGGGCAGAGCAGAGGAATATAAACTAACACGGCTGTTCCTCCGCCTCCGCCTCCACCGCCGCCTCCGCCTGCTATTGTTTCGCAAACACTACGGTTTGTGGCATGCAAACAGTGAGAAGTTTCAGATCCAGATCTGAGGAGCAGAGGAGAGGGCGGGGTGGCGAGCACGATTAATTAGACAGCTAGAGGGAGTCCAATTGGGTAGAAGCGGACGGTGAAGGCTGACGGGGAGCGAGATGATGTGTGTGCGTGTACTAGGATCAATTGCAATTGGGGAGTCTGTGTCGTGTTTGGTCGCACCGACCTGAGACGGGCTTCGAGGGGAGATACAAGAAAGAAACAGGAGGGGTGCGGCTCTCCTATCCTGTCCGCCCCAGGGTACAGCCGTTATCTTGCACGGGGTCGGAAGGAAACTCCGGACCCACCATGTCTGCCGCAGCTGATACGGCTGGAAGGATGAAGCGTCTATGATGACGGGGACGGGATCCGGTCATGGGGCAGGTGTGGCTCACCAACCGTGCAAAGAGAGAGAATCTATGGTGGATGCAATGTCGTATTTGGTGGTTGGAGATCTTATTTAAATGACATAAAATTAAAGAAACTTATGGCTGCGGTCGGTAGAACAGTGCTCGTGAACGAAGCAATTACTAATTATTTTGTAATAAATAACTCATTAATGTGCGTGTAATTAATGATGATTGAGGACTCCTACCACCAATCAAATAAGTGACTGCACTTTCCCGTATTGGTACGTAAGTCAAACGTAAAGTATCATCCCACGTATGTCGGCGTCTCAACGGAGGACCTTTGGCTCGGTTCATTATCGAGCTCGTACCTCTATACGTCTCAAAGAGAAGTCATGCAAGGAGAGATAAGCCCATCCTGTCACCTTATTGTCACCAACGACCAGAGTTTGACGAGATAGTTGGTCAATCAATTTTATTTAGTCTAATCAAAATATTTGAATTAAAATTCATAATAAATATATTTATTATATTTTTATACGTCAATCTTAATTTTATCCATTCTATACGAGACTCATCTAGGTGTTACAAATTTCTGATGTCTTCGTCAATATTTAATATAGTCAGAATCAAATCCTGTATATGAGATATAGCTCTATGAGAGTTTCACCATAAATCCTCTGACATCATCCACCGATAATTCTTTTATACTCAAGTCTCATTATCATATTCAAATTCTAGATTAATTTTAATATCAAATATAACAATTCGTGTTTGATGGACTAACTGACATATCAACTTTGTTTGATTCAAATAAATGACCATGATATTTAAGTTAAAGTTGATAATATTATATCGGTAGTAGTTAGTGGGACATAAACTAAGAAAAGTTGGCTATCTTACTTTCATTATCGTTTTGATTAAAAATCAAATTTATGCGTTTATCCCTTTTTTTTAATGTTATTCTATTTTTATTAGATTTTGACTAGTCTAACGCTTTTACCATTTTGTCCCTAATCCTAACCCCAACCCTATCCTTAAGCGCAACCCAAAATCTAATCCCAACCCTAAACGTTTCCCAAAACAGATTTCTAACCGCAATAAAAAAAAAATACTGCTATTTGTTTTATTTATTAATTATGATGGAGATAATATCCATCGAATCATTTTCCATCGGAACTTACCAAATGAATCCTTACATCCCTTCTCAAAAAGAGATTCCACAATGATCACATCTTTCACATGTCGATAGAGACACGAAGCGGGCCATCGGTTCGCGTAACCAAGCGGCCCAATCTCGGCCCAAATCCTAATCCGCAATATTCCATCCTCTGGCAAATAAATAATAAATAAATATAATATAAAGATAAAAATAAGTCGGTTCGCTTCATCGTGGAAACGAGTGGCGCTCGTGGAGCGCAAAACCGCCGCCGGCCGACCCGTGATTGGACCGCTTCCAACCGGTTTGCGCCGGCCCATTTCCCACACGAAATCTGAGCCACTCAACCCGCTTAGTCTATCACCAGTCGTTTTCGTGCTCTCTCTCTCTCTCTCCTTCTCTCCCCGACCCCCTCTCCTCAGTGACGAACAGGGACGGAGGTAAAGCAGGAGGTCATTGAGCAACCGAAGAGAGGCGGGGAAGGGTTGGAGGAGCCGCGTGGACGAAAGAAGGATTACAAAGAGCGATCGTTCTTTTGGCGCGTCGTCCTCTTGTGTCTTTAAATGGCGGATGTGTGCTTCCACCTCTCCCTCGTCGCTCCTCCTCCTACCCCTCTTCTCCCGCCCCGCCCACACTCGCCTCGGCTAAAGGTCTCCCCGGATCCTCGCCTCGGTGCCGCTTCTGCCGCCCTCGCCTTCCTTCCCAGGCGATTGGCTCGCTTCACGGTAGGGGTCACTCTTTCTTGTTACTGAAAACCCCTCTCTCGTTTCTTCTTCCTCTTCTGTTGTTCAAATTTTATGTTAGTGCTGCAATCTTGTTAGTTCTGTTGAATTGACGTAGTTGCAGTTGCAGATGGATGTAAATTCCTGGTGAAGTACACATAACACGGAATTTATTAGAGATTAATAGGTTTTCACGCGGAATACCTTAGTGTAACAGCCGTAGTTTAATCCCATAAAGAATCGAGTTGGATTATCAAAGTTTGATGAGGGTACCATTATCAACCTGAGCAAAAGCATTAGACTCATTAAAACTTAGTTATTCCAAAGGTCAGGTCATGACAAATGATGGAAAATCGATGTAGTAACACGCATGGTCAGAGATTGGTGAAGAAAGAGATTCTCCCCGAATGAGACTAGCGGCACATCACTGCCATCACTTGACTGAGTCTCACGTTGACCATGCTACTACCATGTCAGGGTTTGATTATGCTTTATGTTAGGTCCCTGACAAAAATGTGAAGCCCTAAATAGGAAGGATTATAACACCCCTAGCATAGTCCCACGTTGAAAGCGAGGAAAAATTGAATTGGATTGTAAGAGTTTGATGAGTGTCCCATGGTTAACCTGTTCTTAAGCATTATAGGCCAACGGTTGAGACTTAACATAAGTTAGTAGTTATCTAGTCAAGTCGGGTTGTGACAATGCACTACTTTAATTCTTGTACATTGATCCTCCCCAAACCCCACATTGGTGGGAGCCTCGTGTACTTGGTACGCCCTTATGTTTGAGAGGTTTAAATGCATACTAACTTGAGGATAATTGAAGCTTCTTAATGTTATTTATCTGCAAAGTTCTTATAATTTTTTGTATTCATACTGGTGGTTGATTAATAATTATTCGTTCTACTATATTGTGCAATGTTACACACTATACTGGTAGTGCGAGGGCCATTGATTTCAGGTTCATGCAGTTGTTGCTGAGGATGAGAGGCCAAAGTGGTGGGAGAAAAGTGCAGGTCCAAATATGATCGATGTTCATTCAACTGAAGAGTTTATACATGCACTAAGTGAAGCTGGTGATAAGCTTGTGATAGTTGAGTTTTACGGCACATGGTGTGCTTCTTGTCGAGCCTTGTACCCAAAGGTGACTTCTATTATCTCTTGGCTATTCTTTCAATCTTATGCTGATACTTCAAATTCTTTGAAATAGATTAATGCTTTTTTGCTACTCTTCTGGTTGAATTAATTTTGTGTTAAAGACTCATTGCATGTAGTTCAATTGCTTTACATAGATAAAACACCAAGCTCTCTAATTTATTGAACACTTTAATTTATCTTGCTAAGATTTGATTTCTTGCATTAAAATCTTTTTTATTATTAAATATGATCCTCTTTAGTTCATCCATTTCAATGATAAAAAATTTCTGTATTTGTTCCTCATTTGCTCTATGCATTGCAATTAAGGGAAATTACATTTTGTGACGGCCAAGATATGGAATTAACAAGGAAGGCTTTAGAATGACCTTTCTGCTCAAACTGCATACCTAACCTATGTTAATGACTCTTCTTTTCAATATTATTCCAATTCTGAATGTGTCACGAAGAATATTTTATGAACCTTTCTCCAATCCCATTTTTTTGAGCAAATCGACGAGCATGATACCGTGTATACTGACTAGAATCGGCTAGAATCGAGATAGAGCTGTCGAGATAGAGCTCAGGCTAGAATCGGTTCTCTCCTAACCCATAGGTTGTATAAGCAACTTTTCTAATACTTTGGAGGTCTAACCTTGTTTATGATGTCCATAAATCAGATGACATCATCAAGGCACCTCCACTCATTCATAATTCTTCGTATCATATCAAACAATACGAATCTACTCCTTTTTACCCTGAAATCTGGAGTAAAATAAGGGAAGTAGCCAAACCCAAGTGGTTAGTTCTAATTTGGGTGCTTGGAGGCTCTCATCAAAGTTCTATGAAACTGCTCATCCTTAAATGGTGAAAGGTAAATTCCCTCCATTTTTATTGTCTCTTGAAAATCAGTCACGATAACAGACTGGTTTAACTATCTTTATGATCTTCCTTGTCAAAGACTGGGATCATATTATTGTTTTCATGGTCAAAGGAATATAGATAATAAATCTACTTCTGAAGTATATTATATAAGTTGGAAAATTAGGAAGTCCTGATTTAGGGGATGCGGAGAACAGATCTGCTTTTGGATTATATTATTAAGTTGGGAAATAGGTGCAACTGATCTCTGTTATTTATACTGGATGGTTCCCAACATCATGTACAATTGCTTGCTGTAGTCATACAACACCACATAGTGTAGTGGAGTAGTGTTTTTCACTTTGGATAGATGGATGTAGGTTTGACTCCAACTGCATTCCTAAAGTAATTGGGACCTTATAACTTGTTGTCATAGGTCCCTTTCCTCATGTTCTGTTTCCCTCAGATTCTACTGTTTCCTGTACAATACCTAGATTTCCGGGAATTTTTATCAGAATTATGTTCCACATAAGTACTGGATTGTTCACTATATCCGGCATTTATTGACAAGCATCTTTAAAGTATTTGTGTATCCCATTCTTTTTAAGGTATCTACTAGACTATTTGCTTAGCGGTTTCTATATTTTTTTACATGTATATTGTTGTTGATTTTAGATTGCTTATTCATGATTCTCAAAGTGAACAGAACCAAATATCATTGTTAATACTATGCGAGTCTTATAGACATGGAAACATGTTCCCATTTTGGAGCCTTTAACATACTATGGATTAGACTTATATTCACTTTTCTAGGAAAGCTTTTATGAGAATTTTTTGAACACTAACTACGATGAACTGCATGCACGGTCGCATTGGATATCATAAATTGATTAGGGATATCATGTGATCTTTCCATTAATTTTAAATTGACTATTTACAGAATTGATTTTAAACAATTTAACACTTGCTTTGATTAAATACTCTTAGAATTGTTTCATTTATATCTAAACTTCTCTCAAATGTACTTCAGCTTTGCAGAACAGTAGAAGAACATCCTAACATACTATTTATCAAGGTAAATTTTGACGAGAACAAGCCCATGTGCAAAAGACTGAATGTTAGAGTTCTTCCTTATTTCCATTTCTACCGAGGTGCAGATGGGCTGTTGGAATCTTTTTCATGTTCCTTGGCAAAGGTGAGCAATCTCTTTATAGAATATTTTTAGTTTGTCTTAATGACTGCAGATCAGCTCCTTTGTTGTTAGCTTCACATATGTGGAAGGACAGCTGTGGAAAATTATTAATTAATTACCTATTATTCCACAAGCAGGGCAAAGTCATTTTCTACGGCTTTGCATGCTTCATTGAAGATGGAATTGTTGACTGATTGTCTTCTTTAAATTTCTTCAGTTTCAGAAGATAAAGGATGCCATTGCGATGCACAACACTGATCGCTGTAGCATTGGACCACCTACTGGTGTCGGGGACATCGACCTCCTTGGCAGATCACCCTCTCAGGAAAAACCTGCAGAAGCTGCTTCAAGATAGTCACAATTCATCATCACCTAGATCATCAAAATAGTTCAACATATGCATTACAGCCTAAATATTGTTGTGTTACAGCAGTTTATTTCTTGAACATAAGCTGCAAATTTAGCATCATTCTTTTCCAACTCAGTATGTATAACAAGCGCAGCTCGCAACACGGGTTTCTTGTTTCAGATCGGATTGTATTATTGTGACTCAGCTAAAACCGTATTTCTATCCACTGATTACCTACTGCTGCTGAACTTTATTAATACCTTAAGTTGATCATGATATGTTCATCATGACAGCCTAGTCTATAAAGATTAATGTTAACCTGATGACCTTATTATGCCTTTTCCAAATGTGGATGTTTGTAGTTGTTTCATCTCCTAAATTATCTTGTAAATTTGGTTTCCTTGAACTTGGAGCACATCTAGTATGGTATATGTTTTTCTATGCTTTTAAACATAAGTTTTGTTGAAAATAATTGCCATTGATGATGTTTATTGTTTTTACATAAAGTAAACAACAAAGGTATCTTCTAATTACATAGTCTGACCTGAGTGGTCACATCATCAATTTTCTTTTTTGTGATACTTGGTGCACATTATTTTGTTGATGTGGTCTACTAGTCAAAAGATATGTTGATAATGGAATATATAATATAAGCTTTCAAGAAATTAAATCTGCTGAAATCCACTATCTAGAAGTGATGTGAGGCTGCCTTTTTAATTGAGACTCTGAAGGCAGGGTTTCTTATGAAGCACTATCTGATAGTGGCATGCTCATAGGATTACTAACTAAGCACATCTAATCCATGAAACTAAGATGGAGATTAAGATGGAGCAACGAGGGGTGCACACAGACAGGTAGGAGGACATAACAGCCTCATAATGGACATCATGTCCTCCATGTTGAAGTTGACAAGAAGAAGACAGCCATAAGATGTCCTTTTACTGGGTGAACTTTGTGTGTCTCCTTCACTCCAAAAGGTAACTCATTCTAAATGTTTAGATGATGATATTATATGCTTGACTTGGTGCTTTTGCCACCAACCGTTCCATATCCCCAAGCAAAGGATCGCCTCCATCGCCTCTCTCATCCGACCAACGCAAACCAAACCAGCTCACATCTGACACACATGGAGCAAAAAGCTGTCACCCGAAGCCCATCATGGCCGGAGCTCCTCGGATCCAAGCACTGGTCCGGCCTTCTTGACCCCCTCGACCTCTCCCTCCGCCGCCTCCTCCTCCAATGCGGCGACATGTGCCAGGTCACCTACGACTCCTTCGACAACGACCCGCACTCCAAGTACTGCGGCAGCTGCCGCTACGGCAGGCGCACCCTCCTCGACAAGGTGCTCTTCCCCTACGCCGCCAGCTACTCTGTTTCCGGTTACTTCTATGCCACCGCCCAGGTAGGCCTCCCCGACCACTTCTTCCTCTTCTCCTACGCCCGCGATGCCTGGAGCAAGGAGTCCAATTGGATGGGCTACGTCGCGGTCTCCACGGACGCCGCCGCCCGCGCCACCGGCCGCCGCGAGATCTATGTCGCGTGGCGCGGCACGATCCGGACGCTCGAGTGGGTCGACGTGCTCGAGCCTGAGCTGCTGCCCGTCGACTCCATTCTTTCTTCCAAGAAGGAAGCCACCGCCGAGGAAGAGAAGCCCAAGGTCATGAAAGGCTGGTTCGTCATCTATACCTCGAGCAACCCCAACTCTTCTTACAACACGCAGAGTGCGAGGGAGCAGTTGGTGGCTAAGATCAAAGAGCTCGTGGAGGTCTACAAGGACGAGAGCCTGAGCATAGTCTGCGTTGGCCATAGCTTGGGAGCCGCCCTTGCCATCTTAAGTGCTTTCGACATAGTGGAGAATGGACTGTCCAAGGTCGGAGACAAGGAGGAGTTCCCAGTCTGCGCCATGGTGTTCGGCAGCCCACAGATCGGGAACAAGGCCTTCAACGACAGGCTGGAGAAGCTGCCCAACCTTAGAGTTCTGCACGTGAGGAACAAGATCGACCTCATCCCACTCTACCCGAGCGGCCTGCTGGGCTTCGTCAACACCGGCACGGTGCTGGAGATAGACACGCGGAAGTCGCCCTACTTGAAGGACTCCAGGTTCCCCGGCGACTGGCACAACCTGCAGGGGATCCTGCACGTCGTGGCGGGGTGGAATGGGGACGAGGGCGAGTTCGAGTTGAAGGTGAAGCGGAGCGTCGGGTTGGTGAACAAGTCGTCGGAGTACCTCAAGGACGAGTACCTGGTGCCGGGGTCGTGGTGGGTGGAGAAGAACAAGGGAATGGTGCTTGAGGAGGACGGGGAGTGGGTGCTGGCAGCGCCGACGGACGAGGATGCTCCCGTCCCGCCTTCCCCGGAGGGCCAAACTGGACGGCCCACCGACATGGCGGTTGCCGAGCGGCCTGTTGCAGTCAAGCAGAAGACGAGGTCAAGATCACGGCTCTCATTTACCTCCTGCTTTAAGGTCGTTGACTAGTTGGCTTGTGGTGGTGTGCATGGACTACATTGGGCATGTTGGAGAGCATGTGAATTCTTTAATCCTTTCACAGTAATTCATAAAATATATTATAACAAGATATATTGTAGTGACTAAGACTAAAATCATAGTCATTATAAATATATATATATATATATATATGATTTTTTTTTTTCATTGAAACTTATTATTCACATCTCTTTTTACTATTGACAACCATCTTAAATAATAATAATAATAATCATAATCATAATAATAATAAGGATAAACTCAGTCCAAGGAGAAGATGGCCATATCAATTTTTGAGAAGCCTCCCAAAAAGGAAGACTAGGATACACAATCAAAAAGCCTCTCATCATAAAAGTTAGCTTTTTAGAGTTAGTAGAGGGTGTATATAATGTGCAATTCATGGTATGAACATTGGCTACTTGGGGACCCATTTAGAGTCAGTAGAGGGCATTGCCATCTAAGGGACAGAATGATGAACATTGGCTCCATGGTATGAATAAGCTTTTTAGAGTTAGTAGAAGGCATTGCCTTCCAAGGGATAGAATGATGAACATTGACTATTTGGGGATCCATTTAGTAGAGGTTGTATATATTGTGCAATTCATGGTAACATATTTAAAAATATTACAATATGAGCAGCTCAATGACTTTTAATCTTACTTCAACCTAATAGTATTGTCTTTAGCATCAGAAATATAAAGGATATTAGGAAAATCTAAAACAACTGAAATTTCAATACACACTTTTTACAAATTTAATACACTTATTTTTATATATCCATAAATAATAATTTTTCGATATCACTAGTAATATAGTTAGAAAATTTAGAAGTTCACGTTCATAAAGTCGATATTCTCTGGTTGAAAATCACATTCACAAAGTCGTAGGATAAAAAGTTTTGATCGAATATAACAAGGGCCAAATTCTAACATTTTATTAGATCCCAAATCAAGATATTAGTGGATAATATTCTATTTTGGATGTCATACTAGTTAGGCATTCATATGTGATGCTATGTTATCATAATATTAACGAAACATGATTAAATGAAATTATATCATTGCTAAGTTGATTAGACTATCGTGACATAATAGGGGGACACACGTTGAGCATTGATTAACTACGTATGATTTGAGTCGACTATAAATTTTAGTCGTATCAATCGGATAACATACTCGAAGAATCTTGCAAAACTATAATCTGTAATACTAATAGAGGTGATTTATATGTTAAAGACACACGTAGGTTATACCACTTTTTTACTATACTAACTAGGGTTTAGATGACATCATGTCATCATATGTTGACTAGATCTTCACGGGTGATACGTTTCAACCAAGAATAGTTGTATATAGTTTGATTAAATATTGACTATCGATTTTATCCATATTATTTGAGGCATGTTTAAGTTAGCTACCCTTTCTCATCAATAGATAGCCCACAAAAATATAATTTTGTACCGACGCTTATTGTGTTTGTAAAAGAAGAGATAATTGTTTGTGTCGTAAATGTAAGTGTTGATCCGAGTTTTATGAGCTAATTAATTAATAATTTTATTTAGTTTAAATCACTGATCAAAATAGTTAAAATTATCATAATATATTTATCAAATTTAATCTTATTTTTTTTTATTTATATCCGATGTGAGATCAATCGAGATGTCACAGGCTTAGTGTCAGCAGATTTAGGTGGTACCACATGCTAATTGTCGGCCACCTATGATTGACCTTAATGTTGCTGTACGTCAAAGTTGGATGGGTTAGACGATAAACTTGTGGTTCAGAGTGTTCTCCTTCTCATTGTGTAAGCAATTATTCTTATTTTTGGGTGCTACGAACGTTCTCCGGATGATAAAGCTGCTCAATCAAACCTGTGTTCTTGACGAGGACATACTGTCGTGCGTGGAAGTGTTTGACAAGCCTTTCTACTGCAAGGACGAACTGGAACAGGGATTGAATCACCGGGTGGCACGATCGGGGATGGCCAACATCGATCTCGGTTCTGCACTTTGCATCGTGAATCTGAATTCCGGTGTGCCTCCAGCATGAGACGCATGCCCTTGTTCTTGCTTCCGCCGCCCGGTCGTGTGGAGAACGTACGGCGGGAATTAATTCTCGTTGACGGTGCTGCCATCTTCTCGCTGTCGATCTCTGTGGCGAAAGTTTCGATGGATGGGGAGATAAAAAGAGAGGACAGAGTGGTGCATGAACGAGTGGCTGGGCGGTCGATTGGCCACCGCCGTGACGCAGAGAGGAAAGGGACCGAACGGCCGCGGCGACGGCGACCGCAACGTGACACCATTGATGAGATGTAGGCTTCACGGTCAACAAGGAGAAAATGAGTCTCCATCAAATCCATTTGCGTATCAATCTAATATACAACATCAAAAAACAAAAAAAGTTCACTATATTACAGTAAATTATTATTTATTCGAAACTTTTTTTTTTCTATTCTAAAACTGATTAGAACATTGGAAAAACTACGTCAGGAATCTCATTATTATTATTATTATATATATATGTATATATTTGAGGGTAAGAGTATTTTGTGTTCCGTAGGCAAAAGAAAAAGGAAAAAGTGATCGAAGAAAAATCCAAAATATAAAAGGAAAAATGGACCTAAACCAAATTCGTACGCACACCCGTGAACGAAAACCCACGGGGAGGATGGAGATGTTGCGGGGCCCGCTTCCCACGTGTGACGTGGGATGTGTGCCAATAGGAGGCCTTCACGTCGTCGCAAGGCATGTCCAGCCCACGTGTGTCTGCCGTGACGTTGACGCGATCGTGATCTTTTGCCCCCACACTTAGAGAGATACTTTACGTATTTTATATATCTTTTCTATATTAATTTTTTAGTTCAACGAAATTATGTGGGACGGATGTTTTATGCATACTACATTAGAACGTCTAAAACTCAATAGGCTATTTCCCAACCGTGAATATTCCGAGAGATATTTTTAATGTGTTCCAATGTTTTTTTTTAAGTGCGAACGTATATATATTAGGATATTTTTCTAAAAAAAAGTTTTTTTAAAATATATTAGCATCGTCATAAGGCCATCTTTTTCGTGACACCCTCCAATAGGTTTTCGATATCGTTATTTTGAAATGGACAACATGACCACCGATAGCACGTAGAAAAATCTTAAATCTCTTATTCTCAAGCATATCCTATTCGATTGTAATAAAAGCACGTACGAGAATAAGCTAAGAAAATTAGAAGAGAAAAATGATAGAAGCTAGCATGATGGGATGACGGGATAGAGATGGTCACGTTAAGATGATCGACAATACCTATCTCGAAAGGAAAGCGATTTTAGAAAGAAAAAAAATCTTAATTTAAAAAATTGAAAACTAAGAGCATCTTTAGAAAAAAAAAAAGATAGCATCTTCATGGAAATTATTTACAAAGAGGGAAATAAAAGTATCTATTGATCGGTTAATTTTATCGAGGAATAGAGATAAACAACATGTTGGATGGGGACCACTGGCTTTTTCTGTATGAATGGACCATTCCATTCCATCTTTGAAGTCCTAAGGATACCTTTTCTCTGTCAAAAAAAAAAATTTATTTATTATATCAACCAATTTTTAATCAGATTAAAATAGTATTCAGATATAACTTAAGAAAATTATTTATATATATATATATATATTAAAAAAAAACACATCACATTTATCTCGAACCATAAAATGAAGATCAAATCGGTGATGCCGGTCGTCCGTCAGTGGTACAGTCGAAGAATGTGGAAGAACATCATTGGTGGGTCCAGGGATCGCATCTGATGATCGGATCCGGTCGCCGGGCCCACGCCGTACGGTGGTCCACGGTACCACCACCGTGCCGTGGGACTGTCACTGCAATCAAAGAGGCGGCTTACACGACTCTTTATCATTATTCAAAACAATAATCCTATTTCCCAATCGCATTACGACAGTAGAAAAATCATCATCTTATTCTCATGTCGTACGAGTAATTCCAAAAGAAAATACGCACGATTTTGACATTGTAACGACATCGAAGGTTTTGATCTGTCTTCAATATGGACAGTTGGCATTGATTTGATGAATCATACCTTCATTAAGTCACTGTCAAAGTGTTGGGCGGGGAGGATTTAATTTGTCGATGAGACTACGAGTCGACGAGGTTGGATTTACATGATCGACGTAAAACTAGAGTGAGTGAATTCACCTTCTTCTACCTCCTCAAAGAGTCGTGCTCTATAGGTGGAGGGAACAGCATGCTCATGCGACCTTCGTCTCTCTCTCTCCTCTTACTTCTGCCGAGTGACTGCTGTGCATTATTGGGAGGTTACAGGAATTGAATGCCTTGTCCGCTAGCTTATATAGTCGGCCAAGCTTCGGTTGCGAACGATGACGACGGCCATGGCTGTTACCGGACTGGACCGGAACTCCAATGGCGTGCATTCATTGGCTTAGTTCTCCGCGCTTGTGACACCCAGTGAGAAGCCGAAGCTGCTGCAACAGGAAGCTAAGATCATCATCATCATCAGGTTCTCCGGCTTGTTTGTTGCTTCGGATCATTGAGCTGATTGCTTCATCGGAAGAACGCTGCTTTCTGATTCTTAGACTTGTTGCGCAGCAGCGAAATGGAGAGTCTAGACTCCGACCTCTCCGGGAAGCTCGACCTTGAGGCTTGTTTCCTAAGCCCAAGCGTTCGGCTCCGAGGGACCGGTGACATGGAGGAGACGCTCGGTGCTCTCTTGGATCGCCAAGCGGTGATGAGGTCGGGTGCCCCTTGTGAAGCGGCTGCTGCTTCTTTTCGAGCTATCAGCAGGCCGGAGATCGTCGACCGGTGCTGCAGTCTAACTCAGGATTTTGGATTATCCGATGACCTACCTGTCATCAGCAATATCAGTCACGACGAAGATGTTATCTCTGCCATCTTTCCTGACAGCGAAAACTTCTGCAACTTGAGCTGCACCGGTAATGTTTCTTCCGGGGAGTCCGAGAACCATGGCTCGTTCGATGACCTTAAGTGGAACAGAGATGAGATGGCCTCCCGAGTCTCCCCTGATCCACTTCTTCCCACTGCCAAGAGAAAGCCGAATTCTTCGCCCGAGGAAGAAGGTCTTCGGAAGAACCCGAGATCGGAGAAGCATTCAAGCTCTGTGGCCATCGAGACTGTAGCAGAGGCGAAGGAGATGATCTACAGGGCTGCAGCGCTGAGGCCGCTGACTCTGGGAATGGAGGAGGCGGCGGCAGCCGAGAAGCCAAAGAGAAAGAATGTGAAGATATCAAGTGACCCACAGACGGTGGCAGCAAGGCGCAGGAGGGAAAGGATCAGTGAGAGGCTGAGGGTGCTGCAAAGGCTGGTCCCCGGCGGCAGCAAAATGGACACTGCAACCATGCTCGATGAGGCCGCCAACTATCTTAAGTTCCTCAAGTCTCAGGTCAGGGCCTTGGAAACCCTCGGTGAAAGGCATGGCCATGCAACCAACAGTGCCATCCACCCCTTTCCACTAGCTCTGAACCAAGCTTTTAGAATGCAAAGATGAGAGATGAGGCACGACTCATCCCTGCGAGCATGGGGCACGAGTCATTCCCTTTTCTCATTCAGAGATAACTTTCCCAAATCCACAACACCCAACCATAAGAAACTATTGGCTATTAGCTTTCCCCACCAATAGTTTCAGCTATAGATTAAACCTCTTGTGTATCCATAGCCTTTTAACCTCTAAGGAATAGATAGCAGCAGTGCAACACTTTGGCTTTCACCCTTCAGATACCTGTGAACTAGTTCCTGTCAACTGCACATATAAGAGCTTCACGGTGACATTTAATCTGTCACCCTGAAGTCTGACTTCTCTATCACAAAGTTGTAAGAGGTCGATCTGTTCTCTGTCATCCGATTGACCTGAAGCGCGAATTTTACAGGTACTGCTTCCGATGGTATGTATCGAAGTGACAAGTAGTTCAGCTCTCCTCCCCTGCCGATCTCACTCCTTTTCTTTGGACCTGCAGTGTCGCAGAGCACGATGCTGCTGTCTTGGTTAAGCCGGAGTACCTTTGCGAAGACCACCTGCACAATAGGTGAGCACGTTGGAGACAGAGAGACAGAGGTTGCCAGTCCACGCAATCACTGTGCTCCAATTACCTTTCTCTACTATTCTCTTCGCTGAACTCTGTACTGATTATGATGTCATACAAAAGTGCCTTCCGGCGGTCTCAGATCAAAAGTGCCTTCTGTGATGTCCGTGCAAAGATCTTAACACTGACTCGTTTCGTCTCGTGTTGTCCGTGCGGTAGGAAAGCTGCAAACTCCACTCGTAGATCCTCTTGTGCATCCTAATAACCCACAGCTGCTGCTACTGGACTTGTGCATCCAAGCATTGAATTTTGAGATCCCCTATGCATCCTGTTTAACTACTCTTACTACCTGATCTTAAACGTGGGATTGATTCTTCTTCTCCGAGACAAGTTTCAATCTAACCAGCAAGCTCTTTGGTGTGCGTTTATGTGGATTGGCTATCAGAATGGGCAGATTCGAAAGCTACAACTGAAGCTTAAGGTTTCATAGTGCACAACCTCTGGCATTGCTCCTGACTCTTTGATGGAAACAAAACCTTGTATGATCACGCCATGTTTCGCAACTGTTCCTCTTTCCATTGCTCGAGAACAAGCATCATCGGAGGAAAAAGACCTGCTAAAGATACACAAGTTGGAAAGAGAGCTCAGTGTTCCAACATTTTCTCGAAATTTCATCCATTACGTACGTGTATTGCATTAAGATTGTGCGTATCAGTCACGCGACTGTACCGTCGGACTCAGATCTTTCTTTCGTTCTCATTGGTTGGCGTGCTATCCTCACATGAGACCCTCATCGGCCGTCCATCCATTCTTGCTATCGCATCTCGGTCGTCCATCCACGAGGCGCGAGCCAAGTGGAGGAAGCCTCGTTACAGATGGACGGTGATGATGGAGGTGCGTCGGACCAGCGCTCGATCCATACCAAAGTAGGAGAGGATCCCATCTCAGGTAATCCTTTTTTAAGGCAACAAAGCTTGTCCGACACATCTACTTTTCCCCATCGACAAACCCTAGCACGAGACCGTACGCATCGGCCGGGCCCCACGTTCCTTTTGCGCTTGTTTCGATACTTGTTTGTTTTGGATTCGCTCCTCCGCTTCGAGATAAGGATCCCAAAGCCAACCACTGCGCTTGTCTCGCGAAACTATCTCCTTTCTCTCGGACCTCCTCTCGTCAGTGGCCGCTTTTTCTTCCGATCCACTACCCTTCCCCCTTCTTCCCTCTCCGCGTCGCTCCTCTCTTCGCCTCCCGACGTCGCATGGTTCGTGATTTCTTCAACTAAGATTGGATCTTTCCTCTTCCCGGTCCTTGACGGGGGCTCTGGTGCGAGATCATTGCTTGTGGCTGGCCGCTTTTTCTTGCAGAAAGATCGGGTTTTCCCTGCTGGATTTCGTCCTCGAAGAATTTTGTGCTTTAAGGTTGGATCTTTACATTTGAGAACAGCTGTAAAGTTCCAGCTTCCGTTTTGTTCTGTGATTTGGGTAAAAAGATGGGATCTTCTTTTACTGGAAAGAGGAGGGTTCGATATCGATATAAAGATTAGGAGAAGTGGGTTGAGGAGGCGGATATGGATGTTGTTTCCTTGACCTTCTTCCACCCATTGGGGTTTTTCTAGGTTCGGTCTTGTGGTAAAGTCGAAGCTATGAAAGGGGGAAAGGAGGAGGGTAAGATCATGGGGCCTCTGTTTCCCAGGCTCCATGTAAATGATGCTGATAAAGGTGGTCCGAGAGCACCTCCCAGGAACAAGATGGCCCTGTATGAGCAGCACAGCGTTCCTTCTCAGAGGTTAAACCGGTCATCTTCTGCTCTACCGCTGCCTCATCAGAATGCCTGCTTGTTGGTCCCTTCTAATCCTTTGAGCCAGGTTAGTTCATTATCCAGAACAATTTAATTTTGTTGTCTAGCTATTTCTCATGGGTTTTCAGAGAATGCCAGGGGAGAAAACCTACAAGAGAACCTGTTTTTTCTTTTTCTCTTTCGTGAAGCTTACTGTTGTAGAATTCACCCCAGAGTGCAGTTTCTTACTTTACTGCTTAGCTATAGAGGTTGACGAATATCTATGCATTTATTTCTCGAGAGGAAAAATCTTACAAACCACAGTTCTTCAATTAGTTAAACAGTCTGTAAGGATAAACAAACTTGTTAAATAAAGGGCTGATAAATTTAACCTGTTGTCCCTTTTGCCAAAGACATTTATTGATGTTGCAACTTTTGCTTAGTTCTGAAGCTTTCCTTTTCTTGTGGAATTATATCTTTTACAAAATTGATCTTGTGACCTGAAAAGGATAAGGATTGCATCGCTTGTTGGATGTAAGTACAGAAATTTACCTTTAAGGATTATGCGGGACTTGTAAATCCAGAAGTTGATGCAACTCAGATATGGATATAAAAATTGATGCCCGGTGTTAATATGCAAAGATAAGAGTTAAAAATGGTTCTACCGGTGAAAAAGTTGGTGTGTACAGTCGAGAGTATAATGAAGGAAAAAATTCCTGATATTTGTTTTGATTATGATCGATACTTCAGTCTTCAACAGATAACTATCGATGCATCAGTAATGCTAGACATTAAGATTCAGTTGTTGGAAGAGGTAGTATAAGTGTGAGAAATAAAATGAATAATATGATTTTTGGACTCTCTAGTGATGTTATCTCAAAAGGTTTATGTAGCTAGTGAGGATGATGTGAAAAGAAGCTTATTCAAATTATTTGTGGGATATTTAATGATTTAATTCTTCATCCACAGGATGAAATAAGCCACTAGATTAAAGACCTCATGACCAAGCAACATCTGGCTATTATTGTTTTATGAATTATCTTGAATTTCACTTTATATTGTTATATGGACTTGATAATCTGGAAGTCTAACAAATTATGTTTAAGATGGACTAACTGAACATAAGCCAATTTAAGAGCGAGAGCCAGTTTCACAGATGAAAAATAACACAGTTTTCTTATTAAGTCTAGCATTTGAAAGTTTGGTTGGTATCTTAAAGTTGTTTTGATAATTTTTTATATCAAAAAATCATGGGTTATGCCATTCATGGCAAAGATTTTGCATTGGAAGTTCAGGATTCAGCAACGAGCGAAAAGGTAACTTCAGGATAAAACTATGAGGACATGAGAATCGGTTAGATGACACTGGTTAGTATCACATGCCTGATAATTTTGAAAGAAACAAGAGCAGTTTTCCGATACAGAAATCCCCCATTGGATATTCTTCTATAGAATAAAAAGACAAAGATAAAAAATGTACTGGCAAACTGGTGAATGTCTAAGAAGCAGAAATGCAAAGAGTGTCCATGATCTAATTCTTATGTGCTGTTAGAGATAACCTGCAGCTTTTGTATCCCTTTGAAAGCCTTGCTACAAATACTAGCACATCAAATATCCTCTTTCTTGCCCTTTCCTATTCTTCATTCTTTCAGAACTATTGCACTGTCCCTCTTTCTTTTGCGTCACTCTGGAGCCCAAGGGCAGATATATTGAGGCTTCAAACATATAGCAAATTTAATGTGCTGCGTCAAGTCTGGAATTGGAGACTTGGAATGACATGTTCAGGATATCAAATTCTTGATAAAAAATGACACCTCCCGGTCATTGGATGTGAAAAGATCAGTTTGTATTTTGCAAATAAAACATGGTTGACTTGGAGTTCTTCCGACAAACAAAGTTCTAACCTGTCACTCTTGGTATAATGTTTATAGCTATATCTCCAATCATTTTAGGGTCCATGACACTTGCATTTTTTATCAACTCTTTTGGAGACAAATTATTCCAAGTATGAGATGCTTGTGGGTTATCCACAATATGAGTTTTGAGAAGGTTTTGGTGATCCGAAGCTCTATGAAATAAACGCATCTTGTTTACATTAGCAAAGATCAGTTTCTTTATTAGTTTGCAATACATTAGTTATTGCTAATGATTGTAATCTTGCTGTAGGGATGTGGCCAAGAGAGAAATGTTCTTTCTCCATTTTTTATGCCTCGCAACACACCTGCTTATTCATCAGAGAAAGTTGATTGTCAGTTATCTGATGGAATAGATCCCAACTCAAGGTTGGAGGAGAGATCATTAAAGCATGTGAATTCTAGAAATTTGAATTTGATGAGATCAACTGCTCATTGTAGTTTGCTACGACATCCAAAATCTAAATCTTCTCATGAGAAGAAGATGGATGATGTGGACGATTTTAGGGTTCCTACATTTGACAAATCAGAACCTGCTCTATGCTCCAACAAGGATACATCTGTGATGGGATCAGTGAAGCTAACTTCCTTTAACACCAAGAGTCAACAGAAAAGTCCCAATGCTACACTTAATTCTTCAATTCGATACTCAACTTCTTATTTCAAGCACTTTGAACAAACAGATGTTTCTAATATGCAATCAAGTAAATTTGGTGGATCTGAGAAGGAGAGACAACCTGAAGAAAGCTTAGTAATTGCAGAACACAGGGAAAAGTCTCCTCCTTCCGCTAGAGTTGAAGAACGACCAATTGTGGCCAAAGTTTCAAATGGAGCTAGAGATGTTACTGAGAAATCACGCTGTGGAGGTGTGAGTTCATGCCAAGAATCTTATCAGAATGGTGATTTAATTGGACCCAGGACAATGAACAAGGTTGATGTTGTTGAAAATGGGGATGGTTCACAGAAAAGACAGAGAACTACAAATATGGTAGACAATGGTAATTTGGAAAACAATGTAAAGGAAAATGGGTCATTGGGAGAACACATTGCAGAAAGAAAAGATGAAGCTTCTGAGGCCTCAATAGATGACTCTATATCTGGCTTGGAGATATCTCCAGATGATGTTGTTGGTGTAATTGGTCCAAAGCATTTCTGGAAAGCCAGAAGAGCTTTCATGAAGTACATACAATACTCTTTTATTGTTTTTCTGTTCAACTATTTGTTGCTTAATAATTTAAAAACTTCTCTTGTTGCACTGCTTGCTGATTTATATTTCTTGATAGTTCATTTGTCATATTTATTATTATAATATCGATGGCAAATCATGATCTACCAAATAGCTCAAGCTGAAATCTGAATCACAGTTAAGATTGAGAAGTTAAAGGTTGAAAAACACTGCTAAGTTCTGCTGTCGAGCCTATGTGTAATTTATAAAATTAGAAGCAACTTATTGTGGTTTCCATAAAAGTTAAGATGAAGTGGGACAAGCTGGAAATGTTCTAGTACTATTTGAGGATGACTCTGCAGACACAGATACATTTTCCATAGGTTTTTTCTTTATATATCAGTAGAAGAGATATCACTAGTTCAAGAATTGTGCAACAGCCCAATCAAAGTTAGAAGTTCTTACTTGACTGAAGCACTCAGATATGATCTTTGTGAGTGTTACGTGCATGCTTTATCATAGTGTGCATTCCTGTTGCTTTATCATACGATCTTATCACACAAATACTTGTAAAAGCTCTCACCGGTGGGAGCAGCAATATTGTTATTCTCTAATCATGGATGGTGGTTTATTTGCTGCATTTGTATGCCTCATTCTGATCATCTGATAGTACCTGTCTTGATTTTGCAGTCAACAGAGGGTCTTTGCGATACAAGTGTTTGAACTGCATAGACTAATAAAGGTTAGATGGTTTTAAAATCAGTTGTAGAATAAAGAATTCAGCATGTGCATCAAATGTCATGTCAACTTTAGTTATTATGAGATTAACCATTTTTATTGTATGTCTGAAATAGGTTCAAAAGTCGATAGCTGCATCACCTCATCTGCTTCTCGAAGGCAACCCATACTTGAGCAAGTCTCCGGTGAAAGCACCCTCAAAGGTTCCACTGCTTGATTGTAATATGAATTCTCAACAAGATGCAGTTAAACAGAAAGATGCTGAACGCCAGAAATCAGATCAGAAAAAAGATCTACAGACGGAGAACATTGCTAGAGCACCTCCCCCTACTTGTGGGGAAAGAATTGATGGAGGTTCCCATCGTCAGGTTTTAGAAAGTGGGCCTCGCTCTGCAGTTCCCCCATCACATTCCACTCCCCCAGACAACAATCCAAGTCCTTGGTGTTTACATCCACCGGCAAATCAGTGGTTAGTTCCGGTTATGTCGCCTTCAGAGGGACTCATTTACAAGCCTTATACAGGGTCTTGCGCACCGAGTAGTGGTTTCCTGGCCCCTGTTTATGGAGGATGTATGCCTCTCGGTGTACCATCTCTGGCAGGAAATTTCATGAATACTGCTTATGGAGTTCCAGCATCTCATAGGCCGCCGGATACGGGTGTTCTTGCTGGTGCTTCGGCAGTTGCAACCAATTACTTCCCAGCATATGGCATTCCATCCATGAATCCAATTGTATCAACCTCTGCAGTCGAACAGGTTACCAATTTGGCTTGTTCTCGACCTAATGGACACATTGATCAACACTCCATGATCTCATGCAACATGTCTCATTCAAGGAGTGAAGCAATCAGTGGCTGTTTTCTGAAGTTTCAAGCATCAAAAGACACAGAGCTACAAGCAAGTTCAGCAAGCAGTCCTTGTGAAAAGGCACAAACAGAGGCATCAGATGTATTACCCCTCTTCCCCATGGCTCCGAAGAAAGAGAACCTTGTCTGTCCATCGCGGTCAAGCGGTAGGGATAGTCAAGCTCAAGCCATCAAGGTTGTGCCTCATAATGCGAGGTCAGCTATCGAGTCAGTGGCGAGGATTTTCCAGTCAATACAAGAAGAGAGGCTGCAACATGACTGATGATTGTGTTTGTAGGAACAGATGCTCCTGACTATTCATGGCTCTGTCCATGGGCTTCTGAAGTAACCTTCCCTTCGGCAGTCCAAGCGTCTTACCTCTCTTCTAGTAATGTAAATATGAAAATGAAACAGGTGCCCTATAGCTCTCTCCCCATATTTGCCGCTGACCAGAAGGGTATTTATATGAGTACAAGATTTCGTTTCCGAATGTAAAAATAAAAGCCATACTCTTGCTCTTTCCTCGGTTAAGCTGATAGTGTGGAACTAAATATTACTGGTAATCTTCTGTAAACATTGTTTTGTACTTACTAGTGGCAAGTCAATGCAAGTAGTTCTCTTTTTCTGAAGCTCATACAAGGATGTTTTGATGCAACTCTTTTGCTCATAGTGTAACCATTGCAGCCCCTAAAATCCTCAGGAATCAACCTGCTGTCTCTTTCTTGATTCAAATTGGCAGGCTTTTACTACAAAGTCTCGTCTTTGCATTCTGTTCATTTGTTTCATGTAAGATCGTGAATTGGACTGTGGAGTCGCCTTGTGGTGGCATGTTTAATTGGTTTAGGTGATCTTTGTTCATGCTGTAGAGAGAGCCTCGAGAAGAAGGGCAGGCTACTGAGGCGCCTCCAGCACAAAAAAAATGTTGGCGAGAGTTGAGAGGTGGTAGCCCGAGAAGAAGCGAGTCACAGGAAGACAACAGCCAGCCGCCTCCGAGTGTCTCATGGTGCAATTGTGGCAGGCTCTCTCTTCTTCGTTGGAAAGCACTGAGTTGCCCCTAAAAGAATAAAACTAGGCCAAAATGGGTTGTTGAAACATGCGAGGAAGAAGCTGCAACACTATATTTGAAATCAATGATGCATCATCATACATTAAAATATTTTACATAACTAAGAAATGTTTGGATATAATCGGATTGAACAACAACTAAAATATTATATTGATATCCCTATGTTGTCCATTTTATTAACAAAAATATAAAAATAAATATAATTTTAATTTTTCAATTGATGATGATGAACGATATTGTTATTGGGGATCACGAGTAGTTGTTATGGATGAGAAAAGTAACGATGAGAGGTGCGAATCACTTTGCATTAGCGTTGACATCGACGCAGATATAGAGCGATGAAAAAGCCATTCAGCAACTACGTCAGTGTCGACATAATGTAGACTAATCCTCACCTCTCGCTATTGTTCTTTTCATCCACAATAGTCACCTTTGGCCTCCAGTGATACTGTCGTTCGTCACCACCGACACCATCCGTCATCATCAATCGGAACGTTAAAATTATTTTTTTAACTTTTGTTTTGATGTTTCCGTTAAAAAAACTGATATCATTAGGATAAATAGACTCGGATATTTCACTTTCATAATTATAAGAATATGAATGTAATTTTTTAAAGTATGAGTATCGAAATACTAAAAAGAGTTAACTATAAAAATATGGGTATCGAAATGATGAATGAAAAAAAAAAAAAGATTATGTGAAGCGCGATGTGTATCCATATCCTTTGCACACGATTCAAAACCATACTAAACAACCAATCATAGATTGCGGGGTAAATGACTGCGAACAGAAACCAAAACGGCGAAACGAAAACAGTTTTCACTTCTTCCCTCGAGCATCTCTTTTACTTTTTTTGTTTTTCCCCATAATACTCTGTATTTTCTAAAAGACGATGTACCTTTGATCTCTACCCTATCGATCGCCATCTCCGCCGTGAGGTCCTATCGCCTTTGCCCTCAACTGTCGATTGTTCCCTCGTTCGTCGCCCTCCCCTTGTCCGTCCATCAATGGAGCCATGTTGTCGGATCTCGACACCACCGGCTCTCCATCGAATTGATAGTCGCGTCTCCACCATCACAATAGGAGCAGCCTTGCTACAGGCTCTCCTACTATTAGAGTGATGCTAAGGGACATGACAGCAAGGGAGACAATGGAAAAGTGAGCGGAGTTGGGGGACAGGAGGGAGGGATGAGGAGGATGACATAGGGGCTAGCAGATGGAGAGCAGAGGGGAAGCGAGGGCAACGAACGATCGTAGCGACAGAGAGGAAGAGGTCGATTGATAGAGAAGAAGCAAAGATGGAGTTGCAATGGTGAATGCACGACTACTATCTCGATGAAGAGCCAGTGATGCCAAGATTCAACGAATGGGAAGGATTCATTTAGGGGAGCCGTATACTCGAGATCGGACTAATTATAGATTAACCATATAGTTAGTTACCTTCAAACATTTACTAATCTCATCTTTCCCTATTTGACGAAGAGAAGAACAAATGGAAAGTAGGAGCAGACATGCATGCTTCAGATACCAACATTTATAAGGTGGTGTATGCTTGTTCTGCCTATAGAATAATAAGGGTGAGATTAGTGCACGGTAAAATAGTGGTACGAAAAGGACCGCTTGAATTACCAAGTAAAAGATGCATGAATATGACATGTATGGAAGGTACGGACAGCATCCTTGAAAGAAAATGACAGGTCCATTCCAGAGACTATGGAAGTTTCCTACTGCAACCAAACAATGAAGAGGTGCCGCGTCATAGAACATTGAACCCAGTCCTATCCCTCTCATATATTAATTACATCACTTTTGTTTGGTAACTTACAGAATCTTAATCAACGACAGATATATAAAACAATCAAATAAACTTGTAGTCAATAAACCACTGCACCATATCACCAGTAGCATGAACTGCCTACTTATTTTTCACAACACTATATGTATGTGCAATCAAAAAGAGGAACAAAAAAGAACAGTTTTAACTACTTTTGGCGTACGTTGGCTCGAAGCGACTGAAAATGAGCAGCTATAGAGTCATAATCAGGAAGTTTCGGATGAACATGAGAAGCATTCTTGAAAGAACTTTCCCGTGAAGTTGGCTTCTCGCTTGAGCTTGATGACGTAGGTTTCTCATTGTTTTCTTTAACAGAAGACTGTCTCCGCTCATCTTGTGATACGTTTGGATTTCTCTTACCTGTAGATGATTCGGCCAGTAAGTGTTTTGGTGAAGTTTCTTCAGCCGATGAGTGCGGTAGCCGAGGCTTGGAATTCTCTCTGTGATCCAAATCTCTGGTGTGCTTTGTTGTGCCAGAAAAAGATTCAGTTGCAGAACTTAGCCGAGAAGACTTGGATTCCTTTACCATGCTCGTAGCAAACTGGTCAGAGGTTCTAGGAACTTTATCTTCTTTAACAACTGGTGATGTAGGCTTTGTTCTTCGAGAAAGCTTAACATCATTACTGCCTCCTCGCACATAAGTGGTTCGTGGTGCTAGTTCCTCTGCCTCATTGTCATCTATGCTAGAGTAATTGATTGGCATTCTGGAGCTCGTCTCAGTGTATGCTTTGACACGTGATTTCTGATTATCGAGTCCCTGATCCAGAACTTCAGAGCTCAGCAGTGTCTTGTTTGGGTGGTTTACAGTTGACTTCTCCATGGAAGTGGCAATACTCAACTTCTGGCTTTTAGGAGTTGAAATGCTACTGTCTCTCCGCTGTCTATTCCCAGCAGTAGAAATTTGCTCTTCCTTGCTATCTACACTTGGGTTTACGTATGAGGATCTTAAGATCGATTCCCTGTACTCTTTCCTTTGTTGTAGTCGGCCATATGACTCATGAACTGGATCTTCAAAATCTTCAGATGTATCATCTATTGTTCTGTTCAAAGAGGTTAATGAACCTCCAGACATTGATCCTTTATGCCCAACATCATAATTTGCAACTTGTCCTCCATCTTCAAGATCTGTGTCCGTATTAGCTTTTGAAGCTCTCATCTTAGGCCTGAAAGCAATTGCATGTACATCTTTACTAGGTTTTTCTTCATTTGTAACTTCAATACTTGAGAACCTGGACATACCAAAAGAAATTTCTTCCTCATTCGTGAGAGAAATATCATCTGAATTTGTTTTCAACCTGGGCGAAGCATCATTACTGGTGTTTCTTAAATAGGGTGTACGAGTGTAACCTCTATTTCTCAATCCACCAGTTAATCTTCCAAAGTTCAAGACCCCACTTCCGTATCTTTCATCCAGCTCTTCTTCTGTTCCTATATGATTATAGTTAGGAGATCTACTATCTCTTTGTGTTTGCTGGTTTTTATGCACACTAAGGCCAGATCTCCAACTTTCCTCATTAGGGCTGGGTTCCACTTCAAATTTCTTGGCACTAGGAAGGACAGCTGGTGGAGAACTCCCGTTACCTTCATCAACTTCCACAGTATCATCCATGAGATATGTTCTGTTACCAGGCTGTGATGTTATTGAGCCTTTCCCGGAGCTGGTGTCGGTGTGCAGAAAACTGCTTGGTCTCATATCTGTCACATGCTTCGATTTCTCTAACTCATCTTCACTCTCAGAACCAGGACCTTCAGAGTCATATTTTGGGGAGTCAAACTTTGGAGGTAGATAGTCATCGGAATCTGAATGGAGGTTAGCCTTTCTGGTTGATTCTGAATAATCGGTTCTATCAGATTCTCTCCAAGAATGCAGCTGTGATCTGCTTTCATTATTTAGAGATCCACTAGTGTGTTCCTTATTGCTAAAAGAGTCCATGTTCAAAGAGAAACTAGAAGATTCTTCTCTTGGTTGTTGAAAAAATGAATCCAACATATTTTCTTCACTGTGCCTCTTAAGGAAGGAGTGATCATCAGTATCATAATCATAGTTGTCATAAACTACATCAGAAATATCACCTCTGGTGTTATTCGCGTGGTCATCCGTAGTTGTATAATCATCAAAGTTATTAGAATAAACAGAAGAAGCTAATATGTTGTGTCTTGGATCATAATTCTCATTTTCATCATTCTTTAAATTCTTAGATTCAGATTCTGGATCAGAGAAGCTTTTCTCAGAATTATCATATGACTTGGCATTAGATTCTCGACCATCAATTTCTGACACCACATCTCTGAATGACGAACCACTAAATTGAGACTTTTCTGACACTAAATCATCTCCAGCTATATGATTACTGTTTAAGGTTGTATCTTCAGTAAATGTGCTGGTTCGTACCATGTCATCTTTCTGCGGAGTTTGCACCTTTGGTTTCACAAACTGAAGCCTTTGACTTTTATCATCCTCCTCGGTTACTGATCTGCCTACAATGTAATTACTCCCTAGATATGAACTTTTTCCTGACCCAGGCCCTTCACTTTTGATGACATGTGCAGATGACTTATATGATCCACTAGAAGGTTGTCGAGAAATACTCCCGCGACTTGCTAGTTCAGCAGCAGCTCTAGCTGCCATGCTAGCCCTTTCAGCAGATTCAGCAGCTGCCTCAGCAGCAGAAGTTGCATCCTTAAATTCCATTTTCCAATTTGAGCGATGCACCGAAGCACTCTCCCCCTTCA